TCGCGGCGCTGTGACGTATGTGGCCAACAAATTCGGCCTTCGGAGGACCCGTCCTGCCGTTTTGGACACAGCCTTCATGTCAATAAGTCTGAAAATGGCTGAATTATAGCTGTTTAAATTTAGTTGTGGTGGCCATATTGAATTTTTGATTAGCATTCAAAATTTGGTAAAAATAGTTTTTTTTGGCCTTTTCTACACTAATCTTCAGTTTTGTTTGTCTAACGTGTCTTTGATCCGTCAGCTATGATCACATAATAGTTCAGCAGCTGAATTAAAGCCATTTGAAATAGCTGCGGTGGTCATGTAAAATTTTCAAATCCATAGTGCTTTTATTTTATTTGCATGTGTCCCCCTGAAAAACACCACGGCCACCCCTGTGGCCACCCCTTGCAAAGAGTCTAGCTCCGTCCCTGCGTAAAGTCTTGTCGTCAGTGAGGAGTTCTGGGTGATTCAGGACGGTTCTGGTCAGACGATCTTGTTTGTTTTTGTTCTTCACTGCAGTTTTATCTCTGCTCCTCCACATGTTGCTGAAGTCCTCGTGGCCTTTAACACAAGAACAGAACGTTTTATTAACACATTTATCAACGACAAAAGGCATAAATCTCCATCTAGAGATAAACACTTTTTCTTCTGGAAACCATACGTTCTGCCTGACTGAGTCTGCAAATGTGTTCCATCTGAAACACAGCCCCCCCCCCCACTACCTCCCAGTTATACCCCCACCCCAGTCATCCCACCCTGTGCTCTCTGTCTTCCCATCTTTTTGATTAGCATTATATCTCAGCAGAGTAAAATGTTGCTCCTGCTGTGCGTGTCATTACCAAGCAGACATTAGTTCTGTTAAAGAGACGTTCATCATCTCTGCTGTGCAGAAATCTCTTCTGTCACTTCCTGTAACTGATGCTTTTCATGCTGCAAGGTTTCTGATGAAACCACGTTCTGTGAAGGAATGCACGTCACCCTCCACTTTGCATCCCACTGCTGGAAGGCAGGAGGAAAAAAACTTTCTTTACACGTGTTTGTGTGTTTTTAAAAATCCCATGAATCAGTGGCTTAGTTCTTATCAGACGGGCAGGAAGTAATCTGCGCATCGTTTTGTGCCGACACAAATCAAGACGGCCAAATCAGCCCAGCTCCAACCAACTGACTTTTAAAACACAAAAAGAGTTGAAGTGTTTGGTACAGCTGAGAGTCATCCACTATTGTCACTTTCAGGTTTTTTCCTGGCTTTTCAGGCACTGTTAAGCTATTTTACTGCTAATTAGAGCCTTTTTTTATAGTTAAATTAACCTTTTTTTCTGTTCATTGCGGCTTATTTCTGCTTAATTCAGCAAACATGCTCTTTTGGTTTTATTTAGCTAGTTCCTGTATTTTTCTGCTCTTTCAGCAAAATTTCAGCTACTTTACAGTTATTTTCAGTTCTTGTTTTGGCATTCACAGTGAATTTTCTTAGGAACTACAATTACTGTAGTTTTGATTTGCTTTCATCAGAGTGACTCCCAGCGAATAAACACAGAATATTCTGCTGTGAAAATACTGTCTGTGGCTGACATTAGCTGCCGAAATCAAATTTATTTTTAGTATTTTTCTCAATAAGATTCCAGTTTATTTATTTATTTTTACTTTAGGAGTGACTCACTCTGCCCAAACTAAAACTATTTGGCAGTAATGCTCCAATGCTGAAGATTCGTGCACGTAATGCAAACATATAGACATATTTTTTTTGTGTGTTTCTGTGTGTGTTGTCGCACAGTTGTTAGGACATTCTAGCTCTGTGGAAGACAAGCCAAACAGAATGACAGGAAGTTGAGTCTCCAACTAATAACCTGAAGTTTGGGTTTGGCTCTGACTTTGATTTGATTTTGATTTATTTATTTAACAGGAAAAGATTACTAAAAATCAAGCCTGACTCAGCATAATTGCTGTTTTACAGCAGGTTCCTGTTCTGAAGCACATAAACACGCAGAATTACAGCATCACGATTACATCATTATATCACCATATATATGTATTAGCTCAGCGCTACAC